CTTTCAGACAAGAAGACTTTACAGAAGAGATGCTGATAAGAGGTGGCTGGGCACGTGGCCAGCAGAGACCTGGGGGAGGTGGGGCCTGCGTTTGTCCGTCCTCGCAGAGCTGGGAGACTGGCCAAGACTGGGGAGGGAGCCCCAGGAGGAAAGGAACACCGTGGTTCCCCGGTGGTGGAGTTTTCCTGACTTGCCCCCACCCTATTCATAAGACACAGCAAAGTCAAGTCACATGCCCCCAAGAACTAAAAGAGTAAGGGTCCTAAGTGAAAACGTGAGGCAAAAGGTACTGACACCTGCAGTCACTGGCTTATGTATGTTATCCCTGAATCCTACCAAAATCCCAGTATCAAAAAATCAGTAGTCTGCAGTTTTCTACTTCCTAGACACAGCCTCCTTGTCGATTCCCTTCCAGCGCTCGCTCGCAAACCTGCAAGCAGCAGACCCCGGGGGCCACCCCGGGGTGCCCATGTGAGGGCACCTACCAGAGGGCGCTCTGTCTCCAATCCACCTTTCCCTCCTTCCCATTTTGCCTGAAAATGGTTTTCCTTAATGATAAAATACATGAAAGAGGTGGAAATGATTCTGCAGATGGAAGACCAGGTTGATTAAGAAGTATAGGAAGGGACAGCTGTTCAACCTCAGTAGAAAATGAAGAAACACAAAACAAAGCAAAGAGATGCCGGATTATGCCCATCTGATTGGAAAGCATGAGAAAGTCAGATAATACTAAGTGTTGGCTACGATGTGAGGATCTGAGACCCCTCAGGCCCTACGGGTGGGAGCCTGCACTGGTACCTACTCAAGGAAATCAAGTATGAGCACCCCGGGACCCAGAAATCCCACTCCTGGGAGTACACCCCAGACACTGTTAGGCTGGTCCTCAGAAAGACATATCCAAGGGTGCAGCAAGGAGCTGAGTGTACACACAGGGAGAGAAATCGTGAAAGCATATCACTGGATTATAAAGGAATTCCGACAATGGAGAAACATATCATGAATAATAAATTATAAAGAATCACTTCCACAAACAATCATCAGAAAAATGAAAAAAAAGGCAGTAATAAATAAGAATCACTCACATTCATATACGTACACATACACATACATTTGCTTGTACATTTATATATACATATTTATAATTTATATGAGCTTATACTACACATGCTGTCTTGTAACCTGTTTCACTCAACGGTAGATAGCAAGTATTATATCAATGTCACCATTTTTGGTAGCTGCACAGAATTCCACTGTAAGGATTACCATAATTCACTTAACCAATGCCCAGTTGTTGGATACTTAGGTTATTCAAACCTTTTCACTGTCAAACAGAACTTCTCTGAATATCATTGTACACGCTTTTGGCTGCTTCTTCTAATTATTAACATTGGAAGCAAAAAATATATATTGCAGTGAAAAATGTATACACCTTAGGAATGTGATTGTTTGATTAGATGCATAAATATTTTTCACGATATTCTTTGCAGTTTCCTCGGATCCACATTTTTTCTGTTGTCTGGCAAGGTGACTCCTTCAGGGAAAACAGGCAAATATGCTAGGACTGCTGCTTAATAAGCACTAATACTCATTCCACACTCATTCTTTTGGCACTCCACACTCATTCTTTTTTATTTACCTTGCTAAGAAAATGAAGGGCCACTACCCAAATTCCTCCCTCACAGGTATCCTGCAGCAGCCAAGCTTTCAGTCCCAGAGTACATTTTAAGAGACATCAGCAATGTGAAACACTTGGGATTTCAACATTCTTTTGCTAAAAATATCTTTGTGAAATGCCAGCTTGTGCCTGGAACCACACTAGATGTTAGAGACACAGAAGATTAATGCCTAGCCCTGCTCTAGGGAGCCCTCAGCCTGTTACGGCAGAAGGAGAAGTTCAGCGACACTTGACTCTGAGGAGGAAACTCAAAGCTCGAGTGTGCTTCGGGAGCACACGGGGCCCTGGCTGGTGGGGCTGCTCAGAGAAGGCGGCAGCAAGAGGTCCAGCGGCCACGAGCTGGCCATGCAGTCTTGGCAGCAGGGGCACCGCAGGCAGAGGATCAGACTGGGACAAGACGCCCAGGCCACACAGCACCTCTGAAGGACCCCTGGGCTGGAGCTTCAGGAGAGGGACACTGGGCAGAGCCAGGGCGGGGGCTCGAGAGGGAGGCGGGCCCTGGCCGTGAAGAGCCAGGCTTGCCCGCACACTAGGAGCTTGTACGTAGGGGGGTTGGCAGGGACAGGGAGAGGAAGGATGAGACCAGCATTCTGGCAGAAGAGGGAGGATGGACTGGAGAGGGAGGAGGTTGGGGGCAGGATCCCTGGCCTAAAAGATGCCACTGCAGTTCAGGAGACACAGGTAGGTAGGCCACCCAGGCAGGAATAGTGGCAGGTGGGGAAGCTTCACTGGGGGAAGGGGACATGGGCAGAGGGAAGACAGTCTCCGGCAGACTGGGGTTGTGGAATGGCCAGGACCGGTGCCTGCACGCTGAGGAGCTGGAGAGGGAGCAGGGAAGGAGGACACCTGGCCAGCATGGCAGGTGTTCGGTGATCCTGATGAACCAAGCCTACAACGGAACGTGGAAAGGAGGAAGGGCCACAGTCCAGACCACAGAGTGGCCAAGACGGGGTGCTGGCCCTGCCTTGGTCACACAGACTTGTTGAGTGTTCTAGAATCTAGTGTTGACTTGTTCCACTCTCCGGGATGCAGCTTTCTCATCGGCACAGGGCTGCGTACCATCGAGGCCCTTCCTGGCTGTAAAAGGCCACAAGGCCCCATCTGTCAGAACCCGGGGTGGCAGCTGCCCACCTGGAGATGCGCCCTAATAAGAGTGCCTTTCTGGGAAGGGGCAGATTGTGTCCACAACGAGCTTCTCCTGTGAAGTCATCACCTTCTTTCAACACTCCACTCCCAAGCCACCGAGGATCCACCCTTCGAGGCCGGAGTGCCGGCACGCCTGCTCCAGCACGAGGCTCAGACCCTCACATCTGGCCACATGCTGCTTTCTTTTCTCCTCCACTCCTGGGTAATAAAGAGCAGACTGGCAAAATAGTTCAAATACCTTCTTAGAAAGTACACAGCCTTGTGGGCTCCGCGGCCTATTTTGAGCTAAATGTTTCAAACCTCCAGGCTCAGAGCTGTTCTAGGCATTAACGTTCACTCCAGCTGAACAATCAAGAAGTCAGTAAATGACGATGGCACCTCTGCTGAATGCCAGGCCCGCAACGGGCATGGAGACATGAGGATGACCTGGACATCCCACCCTCCAGGGCTCTCTGCTGAGCGTGAGAGCTGGGCACTCAACACAGCAAGCCAGCATGGCACATAAGGGTTACACTGAAGTTCGCACGAGGCTAGAGATGGGGAGGCCAGAAAGGGAAGTGATGGCCTCATTCAAATGTCGAGGAAAACATGCAGAGGAAGGAGGATGGGAGCCGGGACTTGGTGGCTGCCTGAAGTCTTGGAACATGTGGAACAGGAATTGGATCAGAAGCAGGAAAACACAGCCGCACCATGGAGCAAAAGGAAAGGAGCAGAGACGAGACGGGGACCCAGAAGGGCTGCTTGATGGCTACAAGGTGGGCTCGGGCCAGTTTGCAAAGACCCCGAATGCCACACCTAGGTAGTGCCATGCCTAGGTAGTGGCCACAGGAGCCACTGCAGTTTGTAAGCAGAGGATCGAGGGCAGTAGGAAGGGTAGGGTGAAAGGGGGGCATTTCAACCCAGAGAACTCAAAGAGACCAGCAGAGTAGGGAATAATGTGCCCTGAGCCAAGGCTGGGAGGAATGGTCAGGTGAAGGCGGGGCCACATCTCCCCTTCTCTATTTGCTCAGACCGCTGGCATCTAATCCCACAGACCCAGAAGGAAACACCTAGACCCAAAGTCACAGCCCAACAGCAAGCCTCCCTAGACAGCTCCCAACCCTGCCTTTCCCAGGTCTAGTTTCTGCTCCTGCACTAAAAATGCTACCCAGGAGCAGGTCCCTGGCCCTAAACCTTCGACAGCTGAGCAAACACCGAAGCACAGTGTGTACACTTGCAAGTGGAGGGAACCGGCAGGGAACAGCCAACGCACATACCCAGATTTCCAGGCTGCTGGGCCTGAGTGACAGGTTCATTTCCTGCAAAAACAGGACTTCCCTGGCATTAGGGGAAAACATCCTTGCATTCCCTGTATCCCTGTCCACCTCACCATTCCAGGGACCTGGGACATCCTTCCTAATTTCACACATGCTTTCTCCCTGAACTCAACCAACCTACAAAAAGCCTCTCCAAGATCCCCCATGCCTCTGTGAACTTTCACCCGAGTAGCTTAGTCAGGCAGGATCTAGGAGAGCCGTTTTCATCTCCCACTAATAGAAAGTCACAGAGGCCACCAAGAGTCACCCAGCACCCTACAGCCCAGCTCTAACTCCAGTGCAAAGCTGCCTCCAACAGACGTTCCTGGGGGCGGCGCCCAGCCCCCACGCTAGAAATTTCTTCTTCCAGTAGCAGAAAAAGAAAAGAAGTAGGTGGAATGTGAGGGAGCTGCAGGCAAGAGGGGAGAAGAGGTAGCTAGAGTATAGTTAGGTGGAGCTGGGTTCAAATCCTACCTCCACCACTGAGTTTACTTGGACAAGCCACCTTGCCTCTCTGAAAATGTTTTCCTTATCTGTGAAATGATTATAAAAATAAATTCGGTGTAAGATTGTCGGAATTCAGAGCGCTATTGTTAGTGTTAAGCATTAGCAGAGTTAACAAATGGAATCAAACAAATATTTATGATATATATCGTTAAAGAAAGGGAGAAAAATGCTAAGATGTATACCAAGAGAAACCAGACGAGCGCGCACCGGGCCCCTGCCACCCTCCCCGGCAGGACAGCGCGGCGCACGGCTGGCTGGAGCAGAGCCCCGCACCCAGAGCACCTGTGCGCGCAGGTGGGTTGGGCGCGTGGTGACAGCAGGCTGGCGATGCCGCGCTCGGCCGGCCGGCGGGGGAAGGCAGAGGCGGGGGCACCCACCTGAAGACGCGCAGCAGCAAGCAGGCGATGAGGAGCGCGCTGAAGGCGCACGCCACGATCACGGCCGCCTTCAGGGTAGGCAGGTCGCGGAGCAGGGTGGAGATGCGTGTCACCAAGGCGTCGCCACTGCTGTTGGAGCTGCCGCCACCGCTGCCCGCCGCCCGAGACCCAGTCCAGGTGGAGTTCCCGGGCCCCGGGCCGGGTGGCGGCCGCGACTCGCGCTCGGGCTCGGGCTGCGGCGCCGGGGCGGACTGGGCTCTGCGGGCGCGGGCGGCGGGCGCGGCCAGGAGCGCGAGCAGCAGCAGCGGCAGGAGCGGCGCGGGCGGCGGCGCGGCACGCATGGGCGGGCGGCGCGCGCGGGGGCCGGTCCGCACCGCGCAGAGGCCTGCCCCGGCGGCTCCTGCGGCGGAGGCGGCTGCGCGGTGCTGGGCAGGAAGCTGCGGCGCCCGGAAGAGCCCGCGCCGCCGCCACCAACACGTTGCACCGAGTCATTCGACGGCCCGCGGCCCCACGTGGGCGGGGCAGGCCACCGGGCCCGGGTCGGACTGCGCTCCGCCCGCCCGCCGCCTCAATTCCCTGGGACTTAGGACCTCGTGGGCCAAGTGGTAACTGCCAGGATCACTCTTGAGCAGGCGCTGTGCTGCACATTCAACACGTTCTATTTGTTTCATTTAATTCTACAACCCCCTTTGGAGACAGGTTTGGTGTTATCCTCATTTTGTAGTTGGTTTAGCACCCAGAGAGCCAGCTCACGGCAACCCAGATTGTGTCCGACTAAGAATCAAGGACTGTGGGACCTGGAGGTAAAGCCCCATTGTACAGATGGGAAAACCCAAGCCTCCGAAGTGATTGCCAGATGCCTTATGCATTGTTATGTATTTAAATATCTACCCCCAATTTCTTTTTTTTTCTTTTTTCTTTTCATTATCTATAATAAGATTCATACCCCCAATTTCTTTCTCTCAAAAAGAGTTTCTTATCTTATGGCTTCAGATTTTTTAGGCATTTTGCACCTCTGCTTGTGACCTGGATTGGGATGTGACTTCTGCATTCCTACCTTTGTTGTGTAGCGCAGTTATTGTGATTAACACCCTCTGCCAGGCTGAAGTTGCAGACTCCAGGGTGTCATTGGCTTCCTGCCTCTGCTTTGTAAGCTAAATGATGCTCTGGTGGAGAAAGACAATTATGGAGGTCCTGGTAGTGGGAGACCAGAGGTGGGAATTGAGGGAGGGTGCAGACCCCCAGGGAGCACGAGGACCTGCCCCCAGGGCCTCTGGGTTCTGCTTTTACCCAGAAGTCCTGGGTAAAAGGATGGGTCCTGGCAGGAAGCTCTCCACTGGTGGGTAAACAACTAAAGACACGTAAGAAGGACCAATGACCTTAACCAGCCCATTTCTGGTCTTGCTAGAGAAATAAATAAAAATAGTACAGTGTATTAGTTGTCTATTGCTGTGTAACAAATTACCCCAAAACTTAGTGGCTTAAAACAACACACATTGTTGTCTTGTAGTCTGTGGGTCAGGAAGCTAAGCACAGGTTAGCTGGGTCCTTTGCTTTGGGGTCTCTCACAAGGGTGCAACCAAGGTGTTAGCCTGGGGTGGGGTCTTCTTTAAAAGCTCCACTGAAAAAGGATCCGCGTCCACACTGGGTGCTGGCCCAAGGCCCCCCTCACTTCCTTGCCATGTGGGCCTTTGCAACATGGAGACTTGCTTTATCAACCTGTGCAAGCCAAGATGGCAATAGGGTCTGCCAGCAAGATAGAAGTCACTGTCTTATGAAACCTAATCACAGCAGTGACATTCCCTCACCTTTGCCATATTCTGTGGGTTAGAAGCAAGTCGCAGGTCTTGTCCACAGTCAAGGGGAGGAACTTATCTTTGAGCCCATCTTAGACACCGCCTGCCACATGCAGTGTAAGCATTTTGATTTGGGGAGATGAACAACAATCACGTTATCAGAAGCCATCACCCAGGAGTACTTTTTGAAACGCATGTGAAATACGTAAGCATCCTCCAGTGATGAGAGGTGTGGATAGATCATGTGATTTAGGTCCCTTCCAAGTCTGAAATACTTCCTTATGGTATGTTAAAAAATGTTGCATTACGCCTGTAATCCTAGCACTCTGGGAGGCTGAGGGGGGCGGATTGCTCGAGGTCAGGAGTTCGAAAAAATGTTGCATTAGTAGAGGGTCGCATTATCGTATCATTATGATAAAATATATTAAAAATAAGAGAAATTTTTTAAAGAACCCCTTATGTTGTCCATAATTTCGGAGCACTGTTTTCTAAGGCTGTGGTCCCCAGCCCCTGGGCTGCAGACGGGTAGCAGTCTATAGCCTATTAGGAACTGGACCACACAGCAGGAAGTGAGCAGCAAGCAAGCCAGGGAAGCTTCATCTGTATTTACAGCCACTCTCCTTCACTTGCATCACTCCCTGAGCTCTGCCACCTATCAGCTCAGCAGTGACATTAGATTCTCATAGGAGTGAGAACCCTACTGTAAACTGCGCATGTGAGGGGTCTAGGTTGCACACTCCCCATGAGAATCTAATGCCCAGTGATCTGAGGGGGAGCTGAGGCGGTGATGCTAGTGCTGGGGAGCAGCTGCAGATACAGATTATCGTTAGCGGAGAAGTTTGACTGCACAGTAAATGTAATGCACTTGAATCATCCCGAAACCATCCCCATCCACGTCCATGAAAAATTGCCTTCCATGAAGCTGGTCCGTGGTGCCAAAAAGGTTGGGGGCCGCTGCTCTAAGGCATAAACCTCAGATATCACAGCCTCGTATTGTACTTGTCAGAAATTCCTGCGTGATAGAGCAAAGAGGCCCTGGGTTCTGGAGCCTCTCAGCCAGGATGAAAGAGTTGACCACTGAGTGGCCTTGGCCAAAGACTTAACTACTGAACCAGTTTTTCAATATCTAACACAGGGACAATAATGCCTAGCCCAATAACGTCACCAGGAGCACACATAATAAAGATGAAAAATGTTAATGCTCTTTCCCCTCTCTTGCTACAATTCATGAGCTCGTGTGGATTTGTTTGATTCTTTAACATTGACTTAACATCAAGAATTTAAAAAGCACAAATGAAAACTTTTATAGTAAAGTGAAACTTTCATTCTTTCTGATTATTTTCTTACTTATAAATTGCCCTCAATTATAGTTCCCTAAACATTTTGATTCAACTAACCATAAACAAGGACGTGTTTAATATGGAACACTGGTGACAGGCAACAAAACCCACTCTGGTTGATTTCAGAAAGAGAGGGTTTATGAAAGCATGTTGGATTGCTTCCAGATTCAACTGTAAATTAGAGCAATTCTAATGGTGTGGTCTGTGGACCCCTGGGGTCCCTGAGACCCTTTAAGGGAATCTTCAAAGTGAAAACTAATTCCATAATGATACTAAGATGTTACTTATCTTTTTCCTGGTGTTGATGTTTGCACTGATAGTGCAAAAGCAATGGTGTGAAAAACCAATAGTGCCTCAGCAGGAATCGAGGCCAACTATACTGATAGTATTTGTATTTGTCACAACCGTGCACTATGTGAAAAAAAAGATCAGTTTCACTTTAGAATGCCCTTGAGGTAGCCGTGAAATTATTACATCTTGACCCTTTAAATATTATATGTGATGAAATGGGAAGTATAAATAAATCACTTCTGCTGCACTTTGAAGCACATGTGCAATTTTTAGAGTTGCAAACTGAACTAGCCCCTTTTTTAATGGAACATCATTTTTAATCAAAAGAGTGACTGACAAACTTCAGAGTTGGTCTTTGGCAAGCGTTTTCTTAAAAATGAACAAAATGAGCCTATCAGTTCAAGGATACCAACCGACATTATTATCGCTGATAATAAAATTCAAACCTTCAAGCAAAAATTAAAATTTTTAAGAAAACTTGTCAATTAGGATATTTGAGCTTGACAGCTTCCCCTACCTCAAAACTTTTCTGATGAGCTTGGTGGTAATATTAAAACGTATGGGGTTTTTATATAATGAAATATGTCAAAATTTAGAAGATCTGCATAAATTTTTCCACATGGCCAATGCACAATGTTATAAAATCATTTGTGAGTAAAAGATCCACTCAAATATGAGATAGACCAGTATATTTTAATGGAACAAAGTATGAAACAGTAATTGCCATGATTTCATATTTCATACTGCAACTAATCTTTAAGAAAACACTACTTGCAAGTTTTGGCATAGTATCAAAAAAGAATGCCCATAATTACCTGAAAAAGCCATTAATATTTTCCTCCCTTTTCTGACTATATATCTGAGTGAGACTGGATTTTCTTCATATTCTTCAACCAAAACAATAAATTGCAACAGGTTTAATGCAAAAGCAGATAAAGAATCCAGCTATTTTCTATTAAGCCAGACATTAAAGAGATAAGCAAAAAATGTTAAAGACGGCCATGCTTCTAATTGTTTTGTTTTGTAAAATTAGTTATTTCAAAAAAATAATTTATTGTTGTTAACATATTAATGTATTGATTATGTTTGTTTTTAAATAAATTTTAAAAATATTTTAAAGACTTCTCCATTTTAATTCCTAATGCAGTAAATATCATTATGTACAGCCCACAAAACAAAAGGTCTTTGAGATCCTCAAGATTTCTTAAGAGTGGAAAAAATTCTGGACCTGTAAGGGACCGTCCACACAGCAGGAGGTGAGTGGCTGGGGGTGCGGGGGGCCAGCAAAGCTTCTTCTGTATTTACAACTGCTCCCCATCGCTTACATCACTGCATAAGCTCCGCCTCCTATTAGATCAGCACAGCATTAGATTCTCACAGGAGCGAGAAGCCTACTGCAAACTGCGCATGCGAGGGACCTAGGTTGTGCGCCTTCTGAGAACAGACTGCCTGATGATCTGGGTGGGGCTGAGACGGTGATGCTGGTGCTGAGGAGTGGCTGCAAATACAGATTACCGTTATCAGAGAGGTTCTACTGCACAGTAAATGTAACGTGACCGAGTCATCCCAAAACCATCCCTCCCACCCCAGTCCGTGGAAGAAGTGTCTTCCATGAAAGCTGTCCCTGGTGCCAAAAAGACCCGGGACCACTGAGTTAGGATACTTTCTGCTATACAGAAAACTCAGCTTGAACTGACTTAAATAAAAAAGGAAATCTTTTCTCTCACATAAAGGAAGTGCATGCCCAGGTAGGGAGGTTCGGGGTTGGTTGATCGAGCAGACGTACATGAAGTCTGGCATCCGGGATCTTTCCATCTCTCCCCTTTACCACCCACAGTGTCAGCTTCAACATTAGAAGGGTGGCCTCCTGGTCACAAGGCGGCTGCAGCAGCGGGAGTCGTGTGTGTTGCACTC